CAGCCCCCCCCCCCCCCCAAAAAAAAAAAAATAAAATAAATACATTAATAAACAAGTATGAAGGAGAGCCGACATGAAATTCCACTGGCCCAAAGCCTGATAGTTCATAGAAGGGTTTCTCTGTGTTCAGCAAAAGCTGGGGAAAAGAATGACAACATCATTTCATTACAAAAAATGGAAATACAGTTAATATTGGGAAAACATGACAAAGTTAACACGTATCTTCTTTTTCTGTGAGTTGAAATTCTCAATGATAACACCAATGAAGAGGTTAAGGGTGAAAAAGGAGCCGAAGAGAATGAAGATGACGAAGTAGAGGTACATCAGGACGTTGTGCTCTCGCCGTGGTTGCATGTCCACCTGAAATTGAAAGAGAAACATTGTAAAACAGACGCTTCGCCTGATGCCCATAAATGAATATACTATTTTCACTTACTAGTTGGGTATTTGATTTGATATAAGTATCCCATGCACAACTACCATCTCACGGATATTCACAATGTATAAAACACCATCTTTGACTTGGCTGGATGTTCAGTTGACATGGAAACAGTGTCTTAAAAACGCATCCGTCAATCACATTACATGTCATTCAGCTACAACAGGAGTAGCTTTATAAATATAACAGTGCATTTACAGTTACAGTTACCCCCTGCGGGGAATCTATTCAGTGTCTAATCGGAAATTAAGGGGCAAGTTTTTTAAAGGGTCGCCGTATATTTGATCCACGGATCTGTTAGTCTGCTGTTCTGAATGCGCTCTAAGTCGCATTAGCCTGGTATGGGGTCTGATTCACAAGGGCTATAGCCCGAAACTGGTCCCAACTATCAGACCCAAATTTATGTATTTATGTCCACACTAACACAAGATTAATCAATAGTAGTACAATAATATGGCATACTGCGCTTGCTATATAACAGGAGAAACAGGACTTATCTTTCAGACCAAAATCTACATTATTTTAGTGGACTACAGAAGTTTCATCTTAAACTACCAGTAAGTAGGCCAAATTTGGAGTCTAAAAATCTAGACCAATTCTGGCGCTACGTGCGATACTACATCACTTCGTTCGTCCAACAGACATCTAAACAAGAACTTACATCAACTGCGTCTATGGCGTTAGTCATAATAGGCACCCACCCCTTGAATGTGGCCTGAAAGAGCAGACAAGCAAAACAACTCAAATTTTCTCCATGAATAGTTTTAGTTTTACGATTTTAACGGATTTAATATGTCATTTACGGATACAAGAGATACATTTGGATTTTTTTAATGAAAAATACAACGTAAGCTTGCTTCTACAAAATAATGTAGCACAGGGCCAATGCGTGGTGCTTAAATCTTGGTATTTCACAGCTTTAGTTAAGGCCCCTATACAAGAATGCCGGTATCATACTAATATATGTTTATATTCTGTACATGAATGGGTATGTGGAAAATATAGGATGACCTCTTTTAGAACTTTTCAGATTACAATATGTATAGGGGCCTAGTTACAGTTACTCTAAAATCTTAACGGTCGTCCTAATGTATCATCTAAAATATTTCGTTGTAACTGTATTTGAAAAAAAAAACACATTAAAATTATTTCCTGTGGTAGAGGTGATTTGTGGATACATACCACTTGCAACAGCGCAAGATATCCCACTAACGCGTTATCGAAGGTTATGCTTGGGGCCGACCACGTCAAGTTATGCGCCGAACAATTATCGCGCGTGTATATTCCCGTCCATTCAGCCACAACTATGGTGCCATTGTCCCACTTGCAGCTGTAGAATTTTCCGGCCAGTAGATTGACGCCCATGATGGAGAAAATCAACCAGAAGATCAGGCACACCATAAACACGTTGCAGATAGATGGAATGGCTCCTATTAAGGCGTTAACAACCACCTAGAATATTGTACAAAATAATGGTTAGTTTACAAAGGAACGAGTAAGACACGCGTATGCCCTCATCCAATTTTAGAAAAAAAAAAAACATCAGATTTAAGAAAAGCATGGTAATCGTGATGGTCCACAGGTGGCTATAGATAGCAACAAATGGCAAAAAATTACTGATTAGAAAATGATCTAAAACCGAGCCTGGATGCAGTGTTTCGATCCAATAAATAAGATGGTGTGACGATGGACATGGAATAGTTTCGAAAGTTTACTGAAAATCTGTTACTAGAAGCATATCGCACCAGCCATTCGCCTCTTTACCTTTAGCATTTACATCATACGGTATGACACTTTTTGTATAAATAATTAATTTGCTTATGTCGTAATGTTTTGAAGATGGACTCCATATGTATAGAAAGAATGCTTTGTCTAAAGACGTTTAACAAAGTAGGGACATGTATTCAGATAATGATACAACTTAAGTTCAGGCAATTAAAAACAGAAATATTGTTATCAAATCAACATTACTGATGCCAAAATAACAACCATTTTGTAATCAGATCTTCTAATCTGTTAGTACACCAAATTAAAAAAAAAACACGAGTAAAAACACAACCTTTTGTTAGACTGGATTCTATGTTAGGGTTTGTATTTTGGCTGTGGTAAAATGACAGATATGCACAGAAAAAATGAAGCACAAAATGCTAAATTTACACGATCTGTGATAAGTATTCTAACACCTGTAACCGTGGCTGGACGAAAAGGTAGTTTGTATGAGCAATTCTAGGGAGAGGAGGAAGGGGAGTGATCTACTTTTTTCACTCAAAAGACGAGGTCAAATTATTACGCTTATAATAAGCATTCGCTTATATGTCAGGGCCGTAGCCTGAGCAAAATGCCAGGGGGGGGAGTAATCGGACACGAGGGGGCGAAGCCCCCGAGGGGGGAAGGTTTGGTAGGGGGTGTCCCCCTCCCACAGTGTGGAAAATTTTTTTAAACTGTATGTATAATACTGCATTCTGGTGCATTTTAACTGTTATTTATTGATCAATCAGAAGTCAGAAATTGTGGGTTCATTTTGCCATAAGTAAAGTCATTTTCTCATTCTTTTGAGAGGTTCTATAGCGCTTGAATGACACCCGGAAAAGGTCGATCCGCACATTAAGGAGGCATCTAACCCCAAAATTGGCAAATTTTCAAACGAAGAAGGTAATGTCGGACAAAAAAAGGGGGATAAGGATCCCCTGGACCCATCTCTGTATCTACCTACATGTAAAATTATTCCAAATAATTCATACGCTCAAAAAGAGCAGATAAATTTTACAGTTCAAATAAATTTTTCAAGATTACAATGTAGTTCATTAGTTTACAAAATTTATAGATCTCTGGAGTACTGGTATATAAATAATGTCTCACCTAACTTTTTTGGTGACAAAGTGTAACATTGACTGTTGAGAACTCGATCTTTTTCTCGATGGAGTCGTCATCATCATCAACAAAATAAAGAAAATCTGTACTCTAAAAGATCAAGAAATAATCCTAGATTCCATTCAGTCTAGTCTGTGCTTTTCTGAAGTTATCTAATAGTTGCATTGCTGTGAACACATACACACTGTTGTTATTGTGCACAGGCCGACTCAGGCTGTGGGGTCAGTTTACATCATGTCCAGGCTAAACACCATGTAAACTGATCCCACATACTGATAAGGGCCATACAACCTGTTCTCTGCAGGCTCAAAACAGCCCTCCCAGCTTTGTTGGGCAAACAGTCAGGGTAAACAATAACCTGATAACAGCCTCGGGGATAGCTCCCTAAGGGAGGGTGAGCTTTTAGGCATGAACTGAGTTGGCTAAAAACAGTACACCTTTGTAAACAGATTGTTGAATGATTGTCTAGTGGCCACGAGTGCATTTTCTCACAGAATTGATACCAACTTTGCAATTTTTTTTTTTTTTTACCTTTGCGATTATTTTTTTGCACCTCAAATCCCAGAGGGGGCAGCTGCCCCCCTGCCCCCCCGGAGGCTACGGCCCTGTATGTACCAAATCGATTTTTTGGGTGTAAAGTACTTACATTCTAAATTCATGAACTCCGTGTTATGTTTATGTTTAATGTTTTTTTTTTTCGTTCCTTTGGATCACGATTACATTCTAGGTGACAATTCTCCAAGATAAATACAGTTCTTTCTAAGACAAACTCCATGAAAAAAGGATTTTGTACAATTCAAGTAAAGTTTCTAGTTATTGGTGTTGGAATATCTTTCAGTGGGTGACTTTGGTTTATTCGCACATGCATAAATCGTTGACGCTCGCATGGGCTTAATAAACCACAAATTAATTCATGCACAATAATTAATTGCAAATATAATACGAAACTAAATAAAAAAAATCATTTTCATTATTTCATGATGGTGGGGGGAAGGAGTGTTGATGGGTTGTGGTGAGGTAAACGTTACCTGTTAATTTTTACTTTTGTTGGGGACAATGTGGCGCTTGAGCATGGATATTCATTACCTGGTTCAAAAGGGGAAGCACATTTTACCTATTTCAACCAGTCTGACTTACCCTCATTCCTTCCCACCGGGAAACTGCCCTCAAAGGTCGAAGCGCTCTCAGCGTTCTCATGGCACGAAGAGCACCTACATTCCCCCCAGAGCCCATTATCTCTGCTGCCAACCCGATCAGTGCAATCTGTATTTGTAAACGTTTTTACTTTATGTCTTTGAAAATACCAGTGCGAGAGTCAAGCCTCCAACTGCCACAAAGACTGCGTCTGTGCACCCGATTCGTAAAAATGAAATATCTGACAATGCCTTCGCAGGGATCAGCGTCTGATCTACTTGACAGTATCTGACAGAGCACATAATTTCATAGGCCTAAAATCAAGATCTTCTCTAGCTGATGCAGTTAAGATGGCATCTTTACATGCCATTCAGTAAGCATCTATGAGAACACAGTTTACTTTTTTTGCGTAAATTACGACGTGGTCGTGGTTACTGTCAAATATTTCACCTCTTCAATATTTTGGTGCAAAAACCAGGCTACTGGAATCAGTACGAGCCCAGGTAAACCGATTGCAGGCCAATGTCTTTTGGATGAGACATCCAATTTCTATGGAGCTTGACTCCCGTGTGTATAGACAGATATAGTACCATGTCAGTTGAATCTTACCCGCATTCCTTCCCATCGCGACACCGCTCTCAGAGGACGCAGGGCCCGCAGGGTTCTCATAGCGCGCATGGCGCTCATGTTTTTGCCAGCACCAGTTTCCGGACTAAGAAGTTCGAACATCACGCCCGCAACCGAGATCTAAATTTCAGTGTTAAATAATTGCAGACATGTAGCAAATAGGCTGGTAAAACAATATGAAATAATTAAACATAAAAAATAACCCTTTTTCCGGTTTTACTTAAAAGAGTAATCAGCTGTGCAAAATTCACACAAAAATGAACATGAATATGATTTAGAACCGTATGCAAGGAGTAATGGTAACTTTCTGCCCTAACATTCTTTGTTATGTCTTTATCTGCCTCTGAGTTGCTAAAAACGAGCACCACAGAACTGCAATTTACTGTATGTTAAAGAACCGATTGTGACTTGATTGCCTGCACATGGTAGGACAAGATGGAAGGATAAAAAGGCTCGAGTGTCTGGCATTTTCCGTGTGTTGGTATATACTTCAGACTTTTAACAGTGTCGCAGCTGCCTCTTCACGCGTTTCGTTTAAAAACGCCTAAAAAACCTTAACTTTTCAGTGAATCTGTAATGTTCTGTGTTAGAATTATGACAATTGTGTAAAATTAATTTCAAGTCAGAGTACACTTAGAATTATATACACACAGCAGGAACATTTTATGCTGTGGCCATCAAGATTTTTTAATATCCCATTCCATTATAACTATGTGTATAAAGGTTTGTGATGACATAACGTGACATTGGGGTTTCTTCGTAAGCATCATAACAGTTAAGAAAAGGTCGCCAGCTTGACATTACTGGGTAAAGTGCCTTTTTAGCCTCGTACTCAATTTGCAAGGCAATCTCTTCAGAAGAAACACCTCCAGTGTTGCTAGATTTACACAATACAGGTTTTCAACTGATTTAATAATAAAGCATACTGGTGTCCCTTATTTCTAAGTATTTTTTTAAATATTTTTACGAAATGATAAGCAAATGGATCCAACATTGGCACTTTTGAGGTAGCACGTTTTACTTTGAACCACCAAAGTAATGTGGTCGTGTTAAAATTTTGTAAGGTGGATCATTATCGTAAGTAATAAAGTTTTTATTTAAGGTGTTTTTGAGATCCAAATTGTTGTTCCTGATTTTTGTGGGAATGATGTGCCTCTCCCTTGATTTAATTTAACAGAGCTGTTTTCACAATTTCTCTAAATGTTTTAGTATCAATAAGTAATGATGGAAACTCCTATCAATTCTAAGGCGGTGGAACGGTATCATCCTCTCTGCATCTAAGTGGGCTGACCACACGCTCAGCAGAACACTCAGAAGGCGTAAGAAAATGTCTCTAACATTTCTGGCATTTTTACAGTTGAATTTAACTGTTAAGGTATAAGGCAAATTCTGACTAAGGATATGGTTAAAAGTTAAACGATCGAATCAGTTGACATGACAAATTCTTAAATTCAGTTGCTTTGAACCACACATTTCCATCACTTGAATGGGTAGATTATGACTGAATCCAGTGGATTGTTTTGAACCATTCAATTCGGTTAAGATAAACCTTTTTCATTTGGTCAGTTACCAGTTACAGATTAAAAGCAACCGTATATAAACGGTTATAATTGAAGTGGTTATATCTAAATAAATGTATTCTTTAAAAGTAACCGAATTATTAACCGTTTGAATTGGTTAAAAGGTCAACTGATTTTGATACAGTTAGGTCAACTGAATATTTAGGATGATACAGTTAGGTCAACTAAATATTTAGGATGTATATTGACTGAGTAAATCGCTTAATATTGAACGCATTTTCGGTTAAGTTTAACTGATCAGTTTTAAGAGTGTGAGCACACATGCTTTATCGAGAATATACATTTGGTCATAAGTGATTCGTCGGGCAAACGCAGCTTTGTAAGGTCTGAAAGTTACCACTCCTTACGTTCAGTTCGAAAAAATGGATTCAAGTATATTCTGCATTTAAACTTAAATAAAAAGACAAAACAAATGCTTCAGAAGCAGTTTTGAATGTAATTTTTTAATCAAGTATATACAAAATTATTTTAATAATACTCAATCGTGCCAAACGAAACAAAATCGGTAAACTAATTGTCAATTTAACTGTTACAAAACGGTAAATTATTTCTTCTCAAGAAAAATAAGAACACAGAAAAACTTAGAAAAAATATAATTGCCAATAGAAGAATTTGCGACGTGTAGCCAGATTCTCCGCAGCGGAGACGACAACGAGACGAAAGAAGAACAAGTCTTCGATTTTAAATTCAAGTACATCAATTTTACAACAAGCAAAGCAGATATAGCTTGACAGTGGAGAACTATAGGTATTAGGTAACACCGCGATACTGAGAGGCTGCCTCGGGAGAGGAATGCTAAGTAGTATTATAGTACAGTTTTATAGCGTGTGGATGCAATGGAAACACAGTACAAAGGTGAAATATATATATGAGTGTGTGCATATTTAATGTGTCCCATATACACACACCATCTAAAATACAGAATAGTCTGACAGCACTTATCACACACACACACCCCAGCTATCACTCAGATGATTACATTTGAGAGAAAACAGTATAGAACAGTTGTACAAATCAAAATTAATATGTTATTAATACAAAAGATTTTAAAAACCATAAAGTGATAAAACCTTAGATGATACAGCACAGAAGAGCAAAAAATTAAGCAGAATAAATGTTTAATTTAACGCGGATTTTTAACGGCAAAGATAGAAGAAAATTCCATTTTAAACACTGAATTTAGATTTAGTCCAACAAAAAAGCTTCACAATGTGTATTCTTCTGATAATTTAGTAGTACAAATCTGGAAGAGTTGATCAAAACTCGCATCCTGTCTATAGATGGCACATTTTACATTTAAGTTCCTAAAGATTTGAATGAGTTTGACACACACAGAGGAGAATCGCCAATGTTTCACGTACGCGTACATAGGCCTACTATTCATTTTGACTAGCATTGCAACAAAAAAACTTGACGATATTAAAATGTTTGTCTGATGAATTCACCAGAGAATAATAAAGAAGGAAAATGAATTTTGATCATTTGACAGACCGAACAGCGAACAGATAGTTACTAAGTGTTCGGCGGTACTGCCAACAGACAAACATAAAGCAAAGATAATACATGTAGAAACCCACTCCCGACATGCTGACTCGCAGGGCAATAATACAAAACAAAACAAAACAAAACAAAACAAAACACAAAAAAGCTTACAGGGACATTTACCTTAAGACTTCATTCAACATGTATGGATTGACTCATATCCATATTGTATGAAACTATATTAGCAAGTACAGTAGCATGGAGAATATTTGGTTGTGTAGTAGGCCATACACAATGCAAGAGCACATACAACTAGCTACTACGTAAATCCATTCATCAGAGTTCTTAGGAAATCCGAGTGATAGTTGACATCTCTAATGTGCGCGTCAGTAAGGATATGCACAAGCAATTATGGAATTTTTGTTGCTGATACGTGTGCTCGATTTAGTTACCATAAAAACATACCTGTGCTTTTAATGCAAAAATAAGGTTTGATTCAGTTTCATTATCTCTTATCGAGCTTATCATCTCTTCGGTTGGTGTCAAAGAGAATAGCCGTAAATGTCGGAAGAATATCAGTGTTCGATGACGGTGCATTTTGTGTTGGCATCGAGCTCATGCTGTCTCGAGATACACTGTCATACATTGGGTGGAAAGAACCGCACCGAACCCCAGTCTTCCAGTACAAAAGCATCGTATACTTTAATTCAGTGATATTTCCATCTTTGTTGCGTTATTATGATGTCACTGGTATAGTTGACCTATCAAAAGCTTTTGCAATATTAAAGAAACGCAATGTCGGTGCCATGTGGAAGAGAGTCCCCTGTGAAACAAGTTGTGGTTTCCATTGTACAGGTTCCCATTACAGGTAAGCTCCGTCCTAGACCCACTTACGTCACGCTTTACCTAACCAGTACGAATCTAATGGCGGGCAGACTCTCTGTTACACAGTCTGTTAACAACAAAATGAAGCATGGCGTTGTATTAGATGGAATCTCTAAGAATAGATTGTTTTAGTCCGTCTACCACTGCACACTTACATACTGTTACAAAGTAGCTAAGTCAAAGAGTATATGACAGAAAAATAATATCTGATGCCTTTATAGTATTATGAATTGACTGATATTATTTCGAATTATTGTAGTTATTTTTGAAAAATCAAAACTTGGAGTTTGGTGCGTGTTTTATCCACCCGAAATAAACATACAGAAATAAAATCCATCCAGTGCCAGAGGATCAGTTTTAAATATAAATGATGCCAATACTAAAAATGAATTTTTGGCACTTTATGGATGTTATTTCTTAAAGAGTACTGTAGCACAATTAACACCACTACACAGAATACTTACGAGGCTTTGGATTCCTTACTGTAATTACTTACCCCAACAATAATCACGTCAAGCCAGCACCAGGCATCCGTGAAGTATTTATGTAATCCAAATGCTAGCCATTTGACAATCATTTCTATGACGAAGACTATGGTAAAAAATTTGTCGAATATTTCCAAAACCAGCTGCAGTGTTGGCCTGTCCTTCAGATAATAGTCTTCTACGGCCTGCAAAAGAAAAATAAATGGAGTCCCTTCAGAATAAGATTCATTGACCGATTGTGTGTCAGTAGGTTCAGACAACAAAATGAAGAAAATTGACCTCCACAAATCCGATTACTTTAAGAACGATTCCATGGGATATCCCTGACAAGAGGTATTCTCCTTGGGTTAAGAGCAATTTTTTCCTATTCACAAAAAATTGCTTGGTCCGTCCCTCACTTGATTTGAATTTTTATTCCTTTTTCAATTTAATACTTTAGTTTCAATCGACTGGTCAGTCAAATTGACGAAATCTGCCGTGACGCGCATTGCCTCGTCCACAAAAGAAAATTTTACTTAAAGATACATACAAAGTCAATTTTTTTGGTCATAAAAACCAACCAAATACCAGCATATAGTTTTAAGTAGTATAACTAAGAGAACTACCAAAAGGCATTGTTTAATTTTACCCGAAAGTGATGTTTGAACAGATTTTTCTGCTAGCATTCTATACTGTATGTCAATGGGGCAGAAAAGTAGATCACGAAAGTAGGTTAAATTGACAACCAAAAATTTAAAGAAAGGAGCACTCTAAAGCTCCTTTAAGGCTGATCGAGTGGTCTATTCAGTTTATCCCTTGACATGTTGAATTTATTAGAGTCGTATAAGAAACTAGAAGTAGTGGTTTACATGTGTTACTGGGAATCCACGCTCCACCGATGCTCGGTTCGTATGTACCTTTAAAGAGGTTTATTTGGGGAATTTAAGCAGCTTTACAGGACATGAATATGACTGTGGGAGTTTTCAAACTCATGGTTAGAAATTCTAAAATACAGTTTGGCGGATATTCCATGGAGTAGCCCTTCAAGGTAAGAAATAATGGATTTGGGAATTTTTCACAAGTATCAATCTGTTCAGACTTATGTGAACACTGCTTCAAGTTTTTTTTTTACTTACAAGCGCCATGCTGCTCATAATGATGCATATGATGATGAAAGTTTCAAAATAATTGTGCTCCACGAGTTGGTAGGCCTTGCAACGAATAGCCCAAAACTTTTTGCAAAAGTCCGTCTGTGTGCATGGGACAAAGCATGCGCACTTGGCTGTCCACCTGGCGGGAAAACAGTCATCCGGGTATTTTATGTACGTCACATCGACCTCATTAGGTTCCGGATCTCCCGCTTCTAGTTGGTCCTCTCCCTCTGCAAGAGAAACTAAGCTTCCGGGTTTTTCCGGTGAATCACCCTTCTTTTCAGAGCCGACTTCTTCAGTTGGTGTCACAGGATCTTGCTTTTTGCATAGCGAGTCTTCACTTACAGGTCGGGTTGGCGGTTCATCTGCGTGCGATCTTGTCGGGCTTTTACCCTCATCTTCGCAGGTGAACGATGCCCCACTATCCCTGTTTCCACAACCATTTTGCCTAGATCCGTCGAAGTTGACTTGACTTTCTACACGAGAAAAAAAGCATTATATTTTTATAGATAAAAAAGCAGTTTAATTGAAAAAAAACAAGCTACAAAAAGATGTGCTCCGTATGACTCAACAATCATCACTGCTGCCTTTACTCTTTTAATATTGTTTTGTGGCAGTGTATTCGTTCTTTCATTCTACAATAAATAAAACTAAACGTTATTCAATATTGATGTAACAAGAGGAATGATATTTTGGGAGCGAACCGTGTCACAGGTATAGTATCGAAGTACGTGTAATGATATTGCATGTGCGGTGACAAAAGTATGTTAGTGAGTTTGTGTAGAGATACAAGCGACTTATGAAAACTCAGATAAAACGGCAGTTGCTCGGTTCAGAAAATGGAAAGGCCGCTTTCGGGCTACATCAGCTTTGAAGAATATAATTGGACTTTGACTATAATTAATCATATTACCTTTTGTCCCTTTTTCCATAGCCTCCAAAGCATCTTTTTCTTTCACAGCGCCATTGTGCATTGGAACCTCACCATCTACCATGTCTTTCGAGTTTTCTTTTCCATTAACTGCTACTGTCGTTACATCTGTCGCAGAACCGCCTCTTTTGATAAACATTTTTCTGAGCCTAAGAAAACCTTCCACGATTTTCATCTTGATAAAATTTTTAAATCGGGATATGCGGTCGAATGCTTCTGCTATTTTGTTAGGCTCCTCTGGTTCAGAGTCATCCGAGTCCGAACCCAGAGAGTCGGCCGAAAAGGAACTCAACAGCAAGGCTAAAAACAAGTTCAGCACCTGGAAATAGGACACACAGGTATAATTCTGATATGATGTTTGACATGACAGCCAATATCATGCAATGCGCCACAGTAAAAACATCAAATAAAAAAACTGCACTTTTCGGATATTTCTACCGGGCATATTGATGATGAATAATAAAATTCTATATTCCATTAAAAACCATATCAAGTAAAAGTGAAAAACAATAAATTGCACTACACAGCTATTGAAAAAAAAAAAAAAAACGTAAAGCTATCCGCATCTTGTAGAAATTGACGAAGCTTACGATTCTGTAAAATTAGATAAAATTAACGTAAATCTATGTAATTTAATAATTTAATAATGCTTATCTCCCGTACTCACCACCAAGTTGCCGATAACAACAGTGAGCAGGAAGAATGGAACACACGAGTAGCCGACCGCTTGCATGCAAAGCCACATGTTCTCTATCCACTCTCCACAAAGTACACGGAACACAATCATAAAGGAGTGGATGAAGTCAGTAAAGTTCCACCTCGGCAATCCAGTGAAATAATCCGGTCCGTATTTTTCTTTATAGCTCTCACCGAACAACTGCATCCCCAGAACAGCAAAGATAAAAATGACAATTCCCAAAACGATGGTAAGGTTTCCTAGGGCCCCCATGGTTCTTATCATGATGCTCATCAGCATGTTCAACGTGGGCCAAGATTTGGCAAGCTTGAACACTCTTAGCTGGAAAAATATAGATGCGTGACTATTAATATAATCTATTTTCCACGAATCTCACGAATCGAGTTTATTGTGTTTGCAACACTGCCAACAACCTCAAATACATGGATTCGAAAAGTGTGTTTCATATAAAATAACTTGGTACCAATCACCAATTTGAATTTGCAACACAAAAGCTTTACCGTTTGCAACCCAAGTGATTCAATATTGATGCCTCAAGTGATTATTATTTCAGTTATCACAGGCATATTTTTTCGGCATACATGGATTTATGTCGCCCGGGACCGTTCATCTCCGTCAGCCGTACATGTTAATCGCATTAACAGCGGGTGGGCTCACAGACCACCTTCATATGCAATAAACGCGCTTACAGTGTGCACTTGGTGAGGCAGTGATGTACTATCAATGTAAATCTGTATACTTCCTAGTACTGGTGTTCATTGTATCACAGCTTTTTCAATCATATTCGTTTTTATTTATTCATTTATTTAGTGTGCGTGTGAGTGTGTGTGTGCTGGAAAGCCTCACTCATATTGCGTTACATATAATATTTTTTGGATACTAAAAGAACTTTATTACAGCGATTTAAAATTAAAGGATAACTATGATTTTTTATGTATAACTTTGAAAAATGATAAAATTCTCAAAGGAAACTATTGGCAGAAGCACCTACCAATCGAAATGATCGCAGAACCGAGAGGCCTTTCACGCCTGAAAGTCCCAACTCAACCAAACTGAGCACCACAATGATGATATCAAAGCAATTCCACGGGTCTTTCAGATAAACCGGGATATTCAGGGCAATGATCTTCAAAAAGGCCTCTAGCGCGAAGATGGCCGTGAAAACCTGGAAAAGAGCATTTGAAGGATACAGTACATAGACAAGATATTCGGCGCAGCGAGAAAATGCTTTGAGAGAGGATGAATTCTCACATTGGTTCTGTGGGTTAATCCCACCAATTGAAGCCCTTTATGACAATTACACTTCTCTCAAACAATGTGACTCCATAGACAGGCAAAAATTGAGAATACCTTGAGGTCCATGATACCAAAACGCTTGAAATGATGATGCGATAAAGAATAGGCACGAATTCATTAAATCTAAGAGAATTTGGGGTATGGAGGGGTATAATGACATTTAAGGTGCCTTCAAAACTGCTCCAAATTAGAACCATAAGTAAATAACTGATAGACCTGTACGACTTGGTTGCTTCAGAAGCACTTTATACCTAAAGTCACACATACTTAATTTTCTTGAAAATTTAAACGTTTTTCCCTTTATCACCTTGGTATAGAGTATCTGACATAAATTAACATTTTTTTTTACTCATCTCTCTTCTCTAAGACCAGGAGCAAGGGTGTGAGCGGTATGGTGAAAGTGGTTCAAAGACAGATATTTGTCACACTAAACTCACATAGTTCCCCACTTTCAATGTGAAGGTCATCTCTGGAGATTTGTCATGATGATCCATGGCCATGAACGCGGTGTTAACAAGAATACAAATGGTAATGAACAGTTCCATGAAAGCGTCCGTAACAAACAAGTAAACGTAACGCTGCATTGTCAGCCAACATGGACAGCACGTCCAACTGCAAAAGATTTGGTTGAGTTTGTTCTTTATCATTGTTTTCCTGTCCAGTTCTTCCTCGTAAAATGTCCCCGTTCTTGTTGTGAAAACAGCTGAAATATCACAAGTCGCATACGATTTAGTCGTGGTTAACACAAATGTAATGCAAGAAATAAAACGGGCGCCAAAACAGTGGCGCAAGGCGTAAATTACTTATGTAGAGCGTGGTATTTAGGAAATAAAGTAATGGCTTTTAAAAATTAGAATCGATGAGCACTACATCGAAATTTACTGATGTAATACGGAATGCAGGAAAGGATAACATGTTTTTTATTCTATTTATTTAAAAACTACACATTTACTTACATGCACTGCGCCTTGATGTTTGGTCAATGAGGTCTTTTAATACCATCACGTCTAAAAAAGAAGACAAAAAAGAGAGGTGTTACACTAGTATTCTGATTGCCATTATAACTTTTGGTTCAGACTCTGCTTAAGCGTTTTAATCTGAGTGTGAATATTCCACCATTAATGCTTGGGATTATTGTTGAACAAACACGCGCATCTTCTTTTCAGCGAGATAATGTATTATCTGTGTTCTGCACTCAAAGTAACGATAACAAAAATATTTTAAACGATGGAGTGAAAGTGCAGCTGTCCCTTGAATCTGAAATTGTAACTTTGAGGATGTTCTTACCTTTTAGATCTACTGTTGTTGGACTTGGTGTGCGCGATTTGGCAACGTCAATTGGTTTTAGGGCTCCATCATCCCTTTCGCTGGTTCCCTTAAAGAGTTATTTTAAATATCAAGTTTACACTTACATCAGTTACCAATTGAAGATTTTTGATTGACCTGGTATGTATCAAAATGGATTTAAAAAATCATCAAGCAGGACTCATATCCTAACAAAAACACAATGAAACATACTTCCATTAAAGATGATGGAATGTACTGTATTCACCATTTATATGAAATTAATACATGAATCTTAAAATAATGATAATAGTAATTTCATGATCTAACTTCGAACAGTAAAATTGTGAAACTTTTTCTATTTAATATTGACTCCGCCAAGTTCAGTCTTGATCGTTTAAAATATTTCCAAAACTCAGAATTTGTCATTGTATCGTAATCTTAGCTATAACCTTTCTACTGTTGAATGTCTAACTTAAACGGTAATGAGAGCTGTCGCCAGTTTGCAACTTGACCGATATCATTGATGTTTTGTTGTTAAATTTGTTGCCAAATGCTTCTTTATGTTAGTCTCTGAGGTGGTTCTTTGACATATATACATTGATTTAGATTTGTTTAATGGTCTCTATTGGTGACAAATATAAGGAATCGATTTTCATTTACTTTAGTAGTAATAGTGGTGAACCCAGCATATTATAGGGTGTGTGGGCGGGTTCGAGGGGGGTGGTTAACATTGACATGCAGCATGCACGTTGCAATTCAGCACGAGTTCAGGTGTAGGCCGACCTAGGATTTCAATTAGCCAAGGGTGGGGTGGGGCGGGCAATTTTTTTCTTCGTTCTCAAAACCAGGTCCGTGCATACATACTACACAGTGCAGACGTACATCGTGAATCACCTCAGGCATAAGATGCTGCTGGCCTTTATACATCTTCTCGTCTGTTGGTTCGCCTTTCTCCCTTCTTGAGCGGTATCGTAGTGAGCGTCTGCTGCCGGCTCTGCTGTGGCGGGAACGGATCGAGGCTTTGCTATAGTGGGACACTCGACTACCGCGACGCGATCCATGGTATGGTTTAATGCTGCCTTCGGGATGCAAATGCGCCATGGAGGCTTTTCTCTGACCATTAGGAATCATTGGAATATTGCATAGATCTTCGCTAGATGGCGTTACAGCAGCAGAATCGTCTGCGAATGGCAAGTTCAAATTTTCCAAATTTTTTAGAACGAGGGGTTGGCGGTCGGCAGCATGAATATCTTCCGGTGGGATTTTCTTTTTCTTCCAACTGAACTGATTGGGCTTGCATCCTTTGCGAAAAATTGGGGAGCCGGGAAGACTTAGACTCGCCTGAAATAGAAAACGTTTATTGTTCATTAGAGCACAATTTTAAGATTTGCATTTAGATATGAGGCGTATATAACACGTAATGGCAGACAGGCCACATCTACGGGAATGTGGCCAACACTATAAAGGGGCGTCTGTTCATAAGAAAGGAGCTTGTAAAAGCGAACTTTTTGTGTGTTCGTACAGCAGGACCTAGATCAAATTTGGAAAGATTTTTTTAACATGTCAAATAATATTTGAGAATGTTTCATTGCCTATTTTGTCAATTTCGTTGTAAATCATATCAAAATATATGTTAAATGGTGTAAACACTACTACTGCGATTCTATTAAAACTGAATAAAATTGTTGACCTCGCGAGATCTCGACCAGCGGAGACTTTCCTGGCTTATAACGCAGAGTTTTTGGGGTGTAAACTTTACTTACTCTCTTAACACCAGGGTTTGGTACACTTAATCGGCGGAGTTTGTCATGCCCTATCATGATGTCTGATTTGATGCTCAGTCTTTCTGGTTTGTCCTTGTCGTCGAATAGATCTTGGTGGGCAATAGACAGGTCAGACGGAACTTTCTCGGACAATGACATCAAGGCCTCACGACGCTCTTTTTCCTCCTAAAGCGAGAAATATATAAAAGTTGTGTTGATGAATACTGTAGGTGATATTTTGACAGAGAATCGTGTCTTCTGTAAAAAAAGATATCGCCCTATTGTGTTCGATTTTTGTTGTGAGTTTCAGTGAATGGGAATCATCAAAGCTAGTCCAAACTCTCGCGTCTTAGGTGAAATTAAGCAAGATTTTAACGTAACTTGGATGATTGTGGGCTCAGAAATAGTGATAAATCAGCGAGAGAATAGAAGCTGACAAATTCATTCGTGGATTTTTTCTGGTTGTTTTATCTTACGTTCTGTAAAATTGCATAACAATACGAATCCATCACTTTTGTCTTGCTTTCTAAGAAGACATTCCGGACACACAAAGGGTTTTAGCCTTATCGATGAACTCCCCCACCCACGCGGATTCTTGCACGTTTTCTACTCTCGTATGGCATAACGAAGTGTCAATTTAGCCTCGCTTTGGGCTACTGATCCCGGATGATTTCTATTCCCGTGAAGGCATTCGTGCTTGTACTACTAGTTCGGAAGAGGGCGAATAAGCAGTCTAGGAAAATATATCTAGTGCAGACATATACTTGTATTTTTCAGGTGGATGACTTCAAATTTTGGTCTTTTTCAATATAAAGATAAAAGTTAAAACTGATCACAATCTAATCTCTGTACTCTGCGTCGGAGGATTCTCTAAATTTCTTCAACAAAAGACTTCTAGGACAGGTGCTGTCAACACTTTACAAGGCGGTCCATTTTGCTCTCAGTGATCGTACAGATAAATTAACGTGGAGTTTTATGGTAATTATAGTTTGTGTATCTTCCATTTTTAAAGATAACAGTTGTGAACGTGAAATAATTTACCAACGCCCCCTTCCGTCTTACATCATAAAGCCAGTGACTGCCAGGAAAAATCGCTATTTATTTAGTCAATAACTGTAGTAAATTGAAGCCTATGTCCCAGGATACAGAGATTCTGCGCATTTTATCAATTTCCCAGGATATTCTTCTCATTTATTATGGCGGAAATACCGGGCTCAAGAGGAAAAAACTCTCACGCCTGAAAAAAAAATTACATACGAACCTCTTTTGCTTCTGCTTCATCTTCTGCGTCTGCCTTATCCCGCATCTGTTGTTCTTCATAGGCCATAGCAACAATGGCCAAGATTAAATTTGTCAGGTAAAAAGAACCAAACAGGATACAGAGCAGAAAAAACACCATGTGGACCTCTCCATTTGCACGGATTGACTATAAAGAAAAGACGCATTCTGCTAAATTAATGAGATAAGTCAATGCAAATTTATATAAAAAATCAGCTCCATGAAATTATCAACAGTTTACTAGGCCAATGCATACAAATGCAAATATGATACTGGTGTAGAGATTATATATATCTCAAAGGAATTTTATATGTACATTACGAGTACTGTGATTAAAAAAACAAAACTGTAATTTAGGTCTACATGCTACGTTCGAAAGGTTCACACCTACAAAATGGTGTTGAACACGGTATGGTAGTATTCCAAACTACTTCTAGTTCATACATGTAACGCAAAATTCTGATAAATCCAAATGTTTCGATTTTTCATTTCAATCTTCATTTAGATAAAGAACCCGACGTTTTAGCAGTTGCCTAAATCTGCGGACTAACATTGAAAAAGGCATCCGATTTACAATATTGAAGCAAAAGAGATGTAACAAGATGAGACATCTTCTCAAGATTTTTCGCCAATCAGAGATTGTCCTCTGTTCTTTCCGTATCACTATCTATATCTTATCCTTATCTGTCAGAAAGGGTAGCAAGATTTGCTTTTACAGCTCAGTTATGTGATCCACTATCCGACAGGCGTTTTAAAAAAAGTGAAACAAAAATTTTCAGATCAAAAACAGACCTATTCAGATTCATATTTTACCAATTGATATAGATTCTCCCAATAATCCTGCGTCATGAGTCGGAAAGCACACAGCAACGCCCCAGGGAAATTATCAAAAGTGGTGTATCCGTAGTTTGGCGAAACCCCAAAATCTTTCATGCATGTGTAGTTTTTTCCATCTTGTTCTTCAAAATATGCACAGTTGCTGAAAAAAAAAACAAACAAACGTCGGGACATTTTATTATTTCAGGTATGAAGAACGCCCATTCTTCGTTGTCTACACGACGAACGGACTTACACACGGCATACGTAATGACCAAAAACCCCTGAAAATTATGAAAGAATGTTATTGATATGCTTAAAAGATTTAAAAACCATATTACAATTGTATTAGGCATATTAAGGGGGTGACATAAGTACTTCACCATTTGTACGGATAGTGCTCTTGATAACATAGGATGGGATGGGTAGTGAAAGGAAACTGTTTTGTGGTTAATAAACGCTGGCCCGTGCAATCACTAGACGCAAACCCCACTGAAAACCGCGGGTTGAAATTTAAAATAAAGTGGCATACCAGAAACACCCTAATCCAAAATGCCTTTAAAGCCTGGGTCAACACAAACCCTAAAAGATTAGTGCCACTTTACGGTCACGAGAATATCCAACAAAATAGTAATACTGACACGATAACTTAATTTACGTAAGTAGAGCACTAGTCTGTCAACTAGTAGTAAAGTAATTCACCTAACATGACCAAATTTCAATAAAATGCAAAATGAAAACTCCAACAAATTCCACTGAAAATCATCTTAAAGCAACGTGGTGCAATACTTTTGTCATCCCTTTGTATAAATTTCGCACCAATTTACAAAATATTACTGAATAAATGATTGTAGTTTTGTATGGTTTGAGGTACTATTGTATTTTACGCGCACCAAATTTCCGCACCTTTCTTAACAGAAATCAACATTTGAATTTCAAATCGTATTTTAATTAATTATTTATTTTCAAGTATCTTAAATGTCGCCCATACCCAACCGGTATATCCGTATTGTTTCGACAGACCACAAAGCCTGAACTTGGGTCCTGCGGATCATTCAAACGCCAGTTACCTGAAAATGAGAGCTATAAAATGTTTTCAGATGTTTAAAACATGACAACGAGACAGATGTTCGTAGTCCAATGACACATGTACTTAAAAGATCCCCCCCCCCCAGACAGGAAACTACTAGAACAGCCCAATAGCAATTATTACATTTATCTGTCCCTTTTAGTTCGATCGTGCTCGGCATAATATCATTAACGCCTTATCAAAAAAGATCAGTATATAAAACTTACTCTCGTTAATATGCCATTCATACCACTCCGTGTCATTCATGTCATCTGGTCCACTCAATATGCATTTGTGGCGCAATTTCCCCATGTAGACTTGTAGTCCAACCAGGGCAAATATCGTTAATACGAAGGTACTTAAAATAATCACATCACGCAGTCGCACTACTGCTTCTAATAAGGCACCCACGATTGTTTTAAGTCCTACAAAAACAAACCATCTGATATATAAACTGACAGACATGAAGCTCATTCAATCATCACCTTGATTCAACATAAAACATAATCTTTTAATATAAATACGCTAAGAAAAAGTACATGTTTGTGTTAATATTGGCGTTATCTTTGAACGGGGGTATCTACTAATATTTTATTATTTTGTAAACTGTAGTGTGACCAGAACAAAAAAAGCTTTATTAACAGAAAATGACAATACAAACTTACATTCATAACTTTAAATTAACCTAATCATCATTAAAAAATTTCTACAAATCGAACTTATCATTTGAACTTAAACAAAATGTAAACTATTAAAGTAAAATTTTATATATGATTTCTTCCAACAATTCTATAAAAGCATGTCAGTAATAATGAATAGCAATGTAATACACGCTAGTATTTTTGTAACTAATATATAATCAATTGATATAAAATTAGAAAATTGAATTGTATAATAATCGCCAGAGTTACCAAAGAAAAGAGAAATTTAAAATCACAGAAGCCATTTAAAACACCGTCAAGAACTCCAACAAAGCCAAAGACGTGTTTCTAGCCTTATATCTTCCGTGCTTCTACTGCTTTTAACCCATTCTGACTGAACAACATGTTAATCCAAAGAGAATTTTGTGAATGATTAGATGCAACAAAGCCCATACAAAATTAAGTAGATATAAGACTTCAAAACGCACAGAGTTTGAGAAGAGTTAAATCTGGTATTTTAAATAAAAGATCTCAAGGAGAATGAAGCATAAGTTGAAGCAATATAAAAATAGTGCATCTTAATGTTAACCAAACGGTCCTTAAACTTCAGGCCTTGGGCAACATTCTTGCACGACTAACTTTGCATAACCTTAATGTATACAACCTTGATAGTCATTGTTCTCTGCTGTTTTAACATCATTTTAACATTTTGAAAGTGAAATTTGAGTTTACTTTTCTGCTTCTTAGAATGTTGCCCCATGAATCTACGCAAAATTTACCGCCATCTTGTCTGACGCCCCATGGGATGAAAAGGAGTCGTTATAATCACCTGGAACAACTGCGACTGTTTTTAGAGCTCTCAGAACTCTGAAGGAACGTAGTGCCCCTAGTCTACCTAAAGCACTTATAAACTCTGTAAGATACCTGAAATGCAAACATAGAGAGTGGTTTTTGCCTACAGGAAAATAGTTAAGCAGGTCGAGATCAGAGTCAAGCCGCTATGAAATATGCGAGAAGAGACAGAATGGCAATATGAAGTTGTACCACCAAGGAAGACATTTTGATAAGTCACCTGGTACCACCGCAACAGTTTTTAGTGCCCTTAGCACTCTGAATGATCGTAGGGCCGCCACGTTACCTAGTTTGTCTTTCACTTCTGGCAGCAGCATCGCGTACCTGTAAGACAAGCATGTATAGATGTTCGATGTGAGACCTTTTCCCGTATTTTTTTCTTTAAAAAATCACAATGGTTAAACGGGAAGAGAACACTTAACTTTCATCTCGTAAGACTCGATTGTTCTTGGTCATCGTATGAAGATCTGCATATCATAGTGACATAACACGAGCATGAATACGCCTTACAAAGAGGAGGACATTCGAGATAACAACACCGAATATCTTGTCACTTTGAAAGCAATTAAGCGGTAAAAGTGGCTCTGAATAAATAAAATCAGTATACGCTTAAACCAGAGGTTGTTTCTCCACTTTGATTTATATCTAAAACGACTTTACTTCAAAATGTCCTTCGTAAAAGATGGGCGGTTACCATCAAATATTTTTTCAAAGCATGCATGGTGGATAAGGTGTCGGCAGATGAAATACATTATTTTAAAGTTTAAAGGTAGAATAGTTATACATCAAAATTACAAAGGTACAATTTTGTCATATCATGTTTCATTGGATCATCTCTAACGAATTAAAACTGAATGGAATTTTACAAAATTATTTTGACATTTTATGATCGTACTAAGTAAGAATATTAATACATTCACTGTTCATGCATAAAAAATACAGTTTGGAAGAGAAATGCATTCTTTCAGACACTGTTAAAATGCTTAGAATGTTAGTGACAGTCGGGCGACACCGATAAAATACAATTTGAAGACAATATGTATATATATATAAATATTTATATCTTGTTACAATAGAAGCAATCTCATTACAGAATATTGAAGTATAAATATATGCTAAAAATAGACACAAGATAGCAAGACTTGGACCATGTTTGGAAGGTAAAGCTTATAGAAAAGGCAAAGTGGAGCGCCTAGAGTGCAAAGCAACACTTGAGGGAACGTTAACGGCTTATGACGTGAAAGGTTCACCCTACCGATCATATAAACATCAACAGCGGACGTAGGAAGACGAAAAACTGGCCTGGATTGTTCCAAGTATTATGCTTTCTTCTTTTCTTAAGATTCTTGCTTTCTAGAATCAAGAAATTTGGCAGTTCTTGTTTGTATCGGGTTCATGCTCGTTTGAATTTAATTTTGTGTGATAATTCCGGGCAGTAAAACGAATTAAATCGATGATATTGGATCTCTGATTGCAAATTCTATGAAAGTGTATGCGACGAACCAAGAAATTGTCTCATCGAACATCAAATGCATGTCTAGAAGTACGTGTGCTGTTTAATGAATGTGTTACCAATACAATCCAGGCTCGGTACTTTAATACTGACACCCATGCGACATCTAACTTTAAAAGCAATAGCTGATTGCACAATGTATATAGTTATAAGAGAAACATGCAAGTACAAGTAAGTTACTCAGAATAGTAAAAAATGTAGTCAATATAGAAATATTAAGTTTTCAAACAACAATCTACAAGTTTAATAATAGGATTTGTGGCCAATGCCACAAAAAAGTGACTATTGTTTTTTCAAAAATGAAGTCATAAAAGTGACTTCATAGATATGTATACATTACAGAGAAAGATAATAGAGGACCAGAACGTCAAGTCTTCTGAAGATTAACATAAAATTACTCACGCTAGCGACACGACCATGAAATCTAACCAATTCCAGGCGTCGCGTAAATACGTAAAAGGTTCCAGTATAAATCCCCTGCTAATAAGCTTCACTATAGCCTCCATTGTGTATATGGCCGTGAAAACGTATCTGAAGAACAAAAAAAAAAAAAAGGTGAAAAAAATACTCGTGCTTACATACACTCAATGGCGATAACACGCACACACACGGCATTGAATTTCGATGTCATACACACATTTACCTACAATGCCACGCCTTTAACTTTTTGTACAGAGGAACCCACGCAGCCTGAGATTTTGGATTTCTCTTTTTTACGTTATTGCCACAAACAAGCCGTTTCCAAGGAATCACAAATGTAATTTTACCTACCCAAGAAAATACTTACTCTGAGTTCTGGGGAGTCTCTGTCATTGCCATAAACACGCAGTTCACTAAAATGGTGATGATGACAATAAGGTTGAAAGCTGTGTCATAGTTAAGGAATTTAATGACAAAATTTAAAATATCATCAAGGGAAAGTGCGTTGACACCAAGCAATTATCATATCCCCTCATTATGATAAATGTAAGCTTCAACACTAGCTCTCTCTCTGCTGTATAAACCGACGCCCGGGATTTTGTACAAGCAATGGGCTTCAGTAAAATTTGTAGAATTTCGCCATTTTCCCCTTAATCATCAAGATCTGTCATATCCAAACCCGTTTACAGAATCTCAATTCATCAACATTTTTTGGAGTTCTAGCTTTCTAGCTTTTTGAGTCATCATCGTAATGTAGATAGATATGAGTGAATTTCTCTCGTGACGTTTAAAAGTTTGCCACATAAAGTCTAATGCATATCATATGCTTTTTAACTGTTAACCGTGCAATATATACATAGAATGTAACTTCACAACTGCTTCAATTACTGTAACATTAAACCACAATCACAACTGCGAAGAACATTGCGTTGCAACCACTAGAAGGACGCACTCGCAAACTAGCAAAAATTTCGTCTCTTTCATATCAAAATATCCAAATATCTAAATCTGGGTTATTGTATTCATCGTTTAAGTCTGACATCACTTCATATAGCTTTACACCTCAAACAGCGGTGACAGAATGAACTGCTGGTTCACTTTAATCTATGTAATCTACGAGTCCTAGAAAGCATGTCTTCACACTTTTCACAAAACGGGTCGTTCACAAGTCCCTGGTTCCGTTTTCTCTTTAATCAAATGTAACAAGTTCCACGCATAGCAAACATGGTGCATATTAATCCGGTAAATGGTATTTCCGTATCTGACGCACCACTCAATGGTGGCCCATAGGTTAGGAAGGAGAATTCGTGTATGTCTTCAAGCTACTTCGGCAATCGATATATCCTTCATACAGTAATTATACAGTGTATATACAGAGAGACTGCGTCAAATACAATCGGGGAATTAGAAGGTCTACTCTCTGCTGTATCAGTATTTTATCATGTGTGTTTTGTGTCTACGTGTGTGTGTTTGATAATGGATGGAGCGTGGGTGTAAACGATGGCTAAAGCAAATGTCTCGAGTCATTTTGTTGCGTTAGTACGTTAAGGATGCAAAAATGGAGATACGCTTGTTTGAAGTGACAACTAACATTGATTAGTGCAGATAAAACAGCTAATGTTCGACTTTTCTTGTTGCCGAACGAAGATAATAACTCTTCATGTTCAACATATTATCAGAGGCAATTTTAGCATATAGTTGACGTTGCTTGATTCAACAAATTCCATTCACTATCCCATGTAAAAGGGTACAACGATTAAATAAGATATTATTCTTTTAAAGACTGTATATTTTATGATATTTGAAAAGGATATGGATGGACTAAAACGTAGAGCATGATTCGTCGTAAAGGATTGAAGGGGGAGAGGCACCAAAATCCGTTGGTTGCACTAAATCGGTAAATTGACTTGTCTTTGCCTATCACGACAAAAGTCTGAAACAAACAAGATGCTATTAATTGCAGTTTTATAATTGACTAGAAAAAGGCAGCAATGTACTGTTTTTCTCAGTATCAGAGAGTTTTAATAGAAAGAACAACTAATCAATACAAGTGGCAAATAGACGTGTTGACAAGAGTCGTCTATGCAAATGGCTGCTAACTTGCGATGAGACAGACGCCATGTCTGCATATTTGAGAGCCAAACTTAGGCCTACATCGCGTTACACAAAACGTAATACAAGGCCTATTAATGTTTGCATTGTAAATGATCAGATACATTGGGTTGTATCAGCACCTTACTCGTCATCATCACAGTTTCTACTGAGGGTAAGGTGCATTTAAAAGGAATCATATTATCTGTCAATTATACATTGGGCTTTAAGTGTTCTTCTAATGCCTCCCCAGGAAACACCGCGTTCAGAGGTTACCTGCCAACCACGTGGCCCCAACATGGCGTCCCCTTGGTACATGTAGTAACATAAAGCCACGGAAAATACACACCTTTTGATTTTGGTAAAAATCATCGATATCTTCCAGCGGTTTTCCAACAAATTCCGGTGGGAAATAATCTCCTAATCGGGGCGGCAGCTTTGCTCCAGCTGCTAAATGTTTATTCGGCCCCTCCTCCTCTTCTTCCTCGTGTGCATCTTTCTTCTCTTCCTTCTTGTCTTCCTGTGTGCCCTCCTCCTCTGCTAGCTTGGCCTGCTCCTCAGCCTCCTTTTTGGCACGCGCTTCCTCCTCAATTCGCTCCTCGATCCGACGTAGGGACTCTCGTGTAAAGATGCGGAAGAGGGGCTGTTCATCGTCGGCTTCTTCCATAGTATCTATATACGTCATCTGATCAATCGAGGAACCAGGATCTGCAATCAAAAAGTAGAAGCTAGTATTAATGTACAACAGTATTAGTTCTTTTCTGTGCTCATCTACCCATACTCATGATGTTAGTTAAACTAGGGAATCATTTTGCGTCACTATCATGTAAATTCAGAAGTCCAATGTTCACTCTTTTATGGATCAATGGTATTCTTCAAATGCCTGGTGTGGCACAAAAGCATGCGCGGCATTTAACGAACGCCCATTATCCATTAAACTTATTAGAATGTGTCATAAAAGATGGACTAAACTGAATATGCAGGCCTGCCCGAAAACCCCACGTACCCGGCACAAAAAGGAGAAACTCGTCACATAGTCCAGGGAGTGAATGGTTGACGCACGGTCAAACAACATTGTACAACCCGTGTTTATCATGCCTATTGCGAATGGCCTTTTGGTTATTGAGTTTGTCAGTCGTGGCCAACATCGAATTTCAACACTGGTAAAACGGTGCAAATATGCCTTTAGCTGTTATTTTGACTTCACCAGATCCAACAATACCATTGGAGACGCCACGTAATCGTTTGCTATCAATACCTTTTGTTAAGTGCAGCGAGTGAAGCATGGGTAGTTGGAGTTAGTTTCCTTTCCTGATAACTTGAAATGATTCGCATAGATGTTCCTTGTTTGAAAACCATCTGACAGGGAGGCAGTTTACCATTATTTAACTATAAATATCTGAGGTGTAATGACATATATTTTACAGTCTTATTGAATAAACGTTTTCTTTCCTTGTTGTACGGTATTGCGTATTGTTCACAAGGCCGCACTCTGGAATTAATTTCCGGGATTTAATCAAGCACTTTATTTCTTACACGAACGTCATTAATCGCACACAGAGCATCATATGATCCGATTATTTTTCTCAACAACTATAGCCTGGTTACAGAAACAAGTACCACAACAGGAACAAAACAAAGATTTATATATTGACTATCATTATGTGTCATCTCGAGAGAAAACGGGACTGGTTTTTCACCATGTAAAGTAACCATCTTTCATAGGTACTAACTGTTTCACACGCTCGTGCCAGCGCGCGCACACACACGCGCACACACGCACACACACACACACACAGAGAGAGAGAGAGAGAGAGAGAGAGAAAGAGAGAAAGAGAGAGAGAGAGAATGTAGGAGGGTTCTGAAAGCGCTAAGAAACCAATCCTGAGTCGGGCCTACTCAAAGTTCCAGGAATTTTGTTTTCAATAATTCTATTTTCAAGGCTCCTACGCTACACCTATCCTTGAATTTCTATTTATTGTTACTTTTGAATTTTCTGGTGGGATTGTCATCATTTCCGGTAGAGCAAGATCCGATTAAATTTCCAATTTCCTATGTTTACGATATCAGAATGTATAAGCATTTTCTATTTTCATGCATGCTGTAATTGATATTTTATAAGATGAATAAGTAAAGCAGCATATTAAGTTACGTACACAACAAAAATCATCTTTGAAAAAAATTAGAGTGAGGCATGTTGTAAAAAGATGCATTAAGGTCCATAATTTATAACTTATGTGCAATAATTTCACATCGCAGGGGGTCGGGTGGGGGGAGGGCACATGCGACACGTGCACCTTTCCCAATACTAAACAGTAGAATTGTTGAACCCCGCTCCCCCCGCATGGAAAATTCCAGGGTCCGTTGTTGTAAACCGAAAACGTTCTTCTCAGTGTCAATGCTTTTAAGGGATTATCAGATCGACAATGCCACTGGGTGCTCCTCCAGATGAGAATCAACCTAAAACGGGAATGAATTATCATAATGGACGTTCTATTAGCTTATCTTAGCATTTGCAGCGGAGCCCAGTGGAGAAGCAGAAGCTTGATATAATTACGTTCAATTAAAGGCTGAGCCCCAACAAATAACACACTAATACAATTCTAATATAATTCACTGGGGATAAAATGGTGGTAGAAGCCCATTAACAGGCGACAAGGCTGGCATGACTGTACCGGCTGTGGCACCAGCGTTCCAGATAGGGGCCCTATGAAAGCCAGTTGGTACAAAGAGATCAGAAAATCACATGAGAGAGGGAGGTGGGAGATGATTGATCTGGAATTTTCAAACACTAAGTGCCTCGCCTGCGTTGACGGCGTTGGCCGAATTAATTTTGTTTGAACGCCGCCAAAAGTCGGGATAGCAGTTCAAATAAGGTTAGGTGTTTTTTTAGAAAATATATTCACGGTTAAGTTAAGATAAGAGATCAGAGAAAACTGAAACCATGCTTATTTCTGTTGTTCGGCTCCAAGCCGTGGTATAATGAATGTAAAATTGCACGTTTGGTGTATTCCGACGTTTTAAATCATCATCATCATTATCACAGAAGACAAACTTAGGTTTAAGCCCTTACATTACAATACTTTTTAATAACCCTCACCCAGCTTTTACAGTGTTTAGAAGGTCTGGTCATGTTGACTGCAGGTTTATTTGATATCTTCTTTTTCAATGGGCAACTTCTAGCAAATGACCCAATGGTATTTGATGCTTCGCAAATTTTAACAAACAGTGATAGGCAAAAAGTCTATGTTCATCTAGTGTTTTATTATACATATTTTGCACTTCATCAGTTAAATACTTCTAGTAGGGGTTGTCATCCATGGTGGGAAAACGATGGACTTCCGGTTTTGTTCCATATTCCGGGGTCGAGGTCTAATGCAAAGTCAGATAATTTTCGGGATGAATAAACGAAAACATTGAACAACTGCCGTAAGAAGGCAATTATCATTTTGAGATAACTGCAATTTGAGACCCAATTAAATAAAGGGGAATCTATATATGCGCCTGAAAAATAAATGCCTTTGATAAATTACGTGGAATGTTCTTAATCTTGATTTGTTGGTAATTAGAATTAATATTAACAAGTTCTCTTTCTCTATTAGATTGTTATTAGTTCCAAGATTATGTATTTAGTAATACCGGTATTTTGCCTGCCAATTACTAGCTCTAGTGAGAATAGTTTACAGACCAACCAACACCCAACAACTTGTGGGCATTCAGCCAGTTAATGCTCTTGTGACAAGAGCAAAGCATAGCTGTCTCATAATTGTATAATCTATGTTTCAAAGTAAGTGATAATTATAACTTTAAAGTTACCAAATCTTTTTTGTTTTTTAAAATATTTTTTAAAATATTAAAATATATCATCTAGAATTATTTTTTTTATTCTGCTCTATATATCTTACTTACAATTAGTTAATTACAGGATTAAATTAATTACAGAATTAAATTATTTCAAATAAATGAATATGTTGGTTGCCATTATCTTCAAGAGTAGTTCTATAACCAAAAGCACTACAAAATGGCGAAAATTCCCATATTTGCTGTCTTCGCATTCTTATTCAGTCAGATGGTGATCTGGTCAATAACACCGCCTGTTGTAAGGTACGGCGTGTTTCAAGTCCAAGTTCAAGACAAGCTCAAGCCCAGACTCAGATTTTTCGGTTTCAGTCAAACAAACGCCACTTTTCTAAAGTTGATTATATTGTGATAAAAAGTTACATCAATCAGTGCAGCATCACTACTAAACCAAAGTCAATACCAACTTTTTTTGCATTCAATCGTTCTTGTTAATGAAATATGTATTTCCCTCAATGCAAAAATACATTGGTGAATAAATAAATAGATAAATAAAAACACAGATAAGCAAGTATATGCATGCACATGTACGTACACGTAAGGATGAGACAAATGCTGAAACAAGCTTAATGTACCTCTGCTACATGTATGCCAGCCTTGATTTAGTAGATAACATCAAATTATATTGTCAAATTAACTATTTATTATTGTCGTTATCATGTCATTTCATACTAGACCTGTCCGTATTAAAAAGGAATCGATATAGTTTATAACTAAAGCTTCTCTCATCCCGCACAAAAACGAAGTAGATACTCCAGCGCAGTAGACTACTGCAATCATACTGCAAATATGCCTCAAATCTGCTTCGCATTGGGAGCTAATTAGCATATTTGAAACATTGCTTCTATCATGCTACTAATCTACTGCATTAATGCTCCTCCTCTGTACTACCCTATGTAATTTTTGAAGTAGAATTGCAGTAGGGTATACTGCATTTCTACTGCAAATATGCTCCACACCACTACTGCGTTAATGCTTCTTTGCTACTTTGATACTACTGCATTTTCGTGCGGGATACGCTGAAGGATTATAGCCGATACTGGACGAACTTCTCCAATAACTACTGGCGTCTTTGATTTATCTTAGACGAAGCCGAAATCGATTTTATGACTGAAACACTGTGTAATATAAATAGTATTATTAACAATACAGGTGTTTTGTATATTGGCATTCCTCGGTTATATCAATATAGATTTCTTGTGGTGCATTGTCACCCGTGGTCTAGAATTACCGCATGATGATATGCCAGAGCAGCGTAAAGTACTGCCTATCTAGAACCACATTGTTTGTTATACCATGTCTTATCAATAAATGAAGATTATTAATAGGGATATACTCCATATGCGTTATTTTGTGCAATGACGTAGAATGTCTTTAAGTATGTGTTTGTCTGTGCGCGCATGTGTGTGTGCGTGGGTGCAAGGGCGAAAATGAAAAGGACTGAAATGTGGCAAAGAAACCCCTGCCCTCTGTTTACGAGTAGTAGCAGATCGATTGTTTCAAGAGAAAGTATTATGCGTCTTGGCATCTCGACACAAACAGATACGTGTGAAATGCGTATTGCGGAACCCTTCCATTCTGGTCTAGTATGTCATGGAAAAGGCCTTACATCATTTTAAGTGTTTAATATTTCGCACGTAACCAAAAATGCTGATGCTTTTCATTACTTGTTCCGCTTAAAAGGTGGTGGATTGATTTAACCGCCAATGGAAAGTTAGATATCTGAAACAGTGTATGAATATATTGCACAAGCATAGCTTGTTTGATTGAGTGACTGTGTCAGTTAAAAACATCCAATCCAAAACGATGATAATACCATAATTTGAGGTATACCCAACATTCATTTTCAC